TGGCACTTAACAATAACAACAACAAGGAAAACCAGCTAATGCAGATGGTATTCAAATTTACCTACCAACCACCAAAGCCAATGAGGAGCAATGAAATATTGTCTGACACAGTGCAGGAAGATGAGTCCTTCAGGTTGGAAGGTACCGAAAAAAACAACTGGAAAAGAGCTATCTCTTCAAAATAGAGTTGACCTTAATGATGTGGATAAATAAAGCTTTCAGGAAATTTATTTGCTGATGGGACATGATTCAAAATGAGAAGAAACAGCGGCAAACATGGATAATCAGAACATGTATGATAATCAGAAATATGATAATCATGTAATCAGAAATATAAATCTATAAAAACTGGAACTTGTCAAAAATGGAATGGAAATATAAAGATGGATTCTAGGCAATAGTAAGCTAAAACAAATAAGTATTGGTCATTTAAAATATGACAATAATATGGTTTATTATGCCAGGAATGACAAAGTAATGACAAAATGGTGTTACATTCACAGTCAAAAAGAACTTTTCAAGTTTTATCTAGAAATACAGTCTGTCTGTGATAGGATAAAATCAAATACACCTACAAGGAAGACCAAGGAGCATGGTGGATCTGTGGGATAAGCACTGAATTCCAAATGTTCCACAGAGATGTGGAGGAAAATAAGGAAGAAGTCAGGAAAGTGCTACAGGAGCCATCAAACAAGATAGATATAGCATTGAAAACAATTCAAAACCTGAAAAAAGAGGTCCAGATGATTAATAATAAAATGTCAAAAATGGACAATACATTGAAAGGGCAAAGTAGTAGAATGGAAGAGATGGAAGCCAGACCCAGCTAACTAGGAGACAAATCTCTCAATACTGCTAATATAGAACAGCAAGCAAAAAAAACGGATAAAAAAAATCTGAAGAGAGTCTAAGTATCATACTGGATAACATGAAAAAGAATAACTTAAGAATTATTGGCATCCTGGAACAGGAAGAATCACAAAAGTCTACATAGGAGATCTTGAGAAACTACTGGGAGAAAATTTCCCTAACATCTTGAAGGATGAAAAGGTAAGAATCCAAGAAGCTGAACAAACTATAAGAAGGATAGACCCTAAAAGAAAATCACCAAGAAATATCATAATCAAGCTCTCCAAAATCAAAGACAAGAAGAGAATCCTAAAAAAGCGGCCAGGGAAAAGAGAAGTGTTACCTACTAAGGTAAGGACCAATTAAGCTACAACTTCTCAGAAGAAACCAAGCAGGTAAGAAGGCAATGGGAAGACATATACAAAACCCTAAAAGAAAAAAAAAAAAAAAACTGTCAACCAACAATAATCTGTCCAGCTAAATTGTCAACCAAATATGATGGTGCAACCAAAACATTCCAGGATAAACAGGAGCTAATAGCTTTTGTCAAAGCCAATCCAGCACTCAAAACATCCTGAAGGGAGTTCTTTGGAATGAAAGAATGAAAACCAACAAGAACAGAAAACAACCAGAGATTGACAGACGTGGCAACACCACCCAGAACCCAGTCAACAGATAACAGAATTCATTCAGAACAGAATAAAATTACAAAAACAATTCAGAAGACCTGTGAGGCCAATCAAAGATCAAAATATTAACAATGTCAAAGAAGGGAAAAATATAGGACTAGAAATCCAGGTGATGAGGAGGTCAGATACATTGCAGGATACAAAATAATGTCTTAAATGCAGAGCAAACTTAATAGACTATAGGGTAACTCCAAAGAAAATTAATACTTCAAAACTTACCATGAAAATGAAGATCTAAGCAGAAGAAGCAAACACTAAAAATAAGAAGAAACTGACAAGAATTAGCGCAAAAAACATAAACTCAGCACAAGAAGGCATGGTGAGCAAAGGTATGACCAGCACCACACAAAAATTAACATAATGAAAGCAATTAATATATACCAACAGAATCCAGCAGCACATCAAAAACAATAATACATTATGACCAAGTGGGATTCATATCAGGGTTGCAAGGATGGTTCAACATTAGAAACACAATCAGTGTAATCCACCCTATAAATAAGAAGAAAGAAAAGAACCACATGATCATATCGATTGATGCAGAAAAGGTATGTAGCAAAATCCAACATCCATTCCTGATAAAAACACTCAACAAAATAGGAATTGAAGGGAAATTCCTCAACATAATTAAGAGCATATATACAAAACAACAGCCTACATTACTCTCAATGGAGAGAAACAATGCACCAGTGAAGACACACAGAGTGGCAGACTGGATAAGAAAATCTTCCAAATGGCAAGGATGTTAAGTACATTTCAAGATAAAACATACTGTTTTAAACTGGGGAAGCAGTCAATAAATTACAGGGTAACTTCAAAGAAAATTAATACATCTTCACACCATATCAACAAAAGAGAAAACTGTAGACTTTTAAACATTAAAACAACAGCAGCGAAGAAATTGACAAGAAAATGTACAAGTAAAAAGAACTCAGCAGAGCCAATATGTGGAACAAAGGAAACAGCAGCATCACACAAAACACACACACACACATACAGCAAAATGACTGTAATCAATTCATACCTAACAATAATTACACTGAGCAGCAATTAAATGCAGCAGTCAAGAGTCAGAAAGCAGTAAAATGAACAAGAAAACAATATCCTTCAATATGCTGTCTACTAGAGACACACCTTACACACAAAGACAAAAACAAAAATCAAAGAATGGAAAAATATATATCAAAAGCTAATGTCAATAAAACAAACCTAGTAGGAGTGGCAATATTGTTTCTTGTTGCAGACTGTGTAAGACTAGTCAGAGGTTCAAGGCCCTCTAGGGCCGAGTGTAACAAATGAGGCCACTGGCAGTTAATGGCAAATTGCTTCCATATTAATATTCAGGTATATATATTAAATTAATACACGGAGCCTTTGACAATCCACAGATAAATGTGATATTTTCCTAAAGCCGAGACTAAAGGTTGAAAGGTTAAGCCTTTCTCCAAAGGATTAACTAAAAATATCTTAGCT